TTAATTCGTTCCGTGACGGAGCTCGTAACTCAAATTACTCGTATGTCAAATCAACAGTGAACGAGTGAGACACGTGATGCTGGGCTGATGTGGCGTTCACTGTGACGTTCGCTGCGCCAACTAGCGGTGGGGTATCTGAAGCTGGCTCCTAACCTGAATTTTAGCTTGCAACTCAAAGCAAAAAATCGGCCGAGAGACGGCTCGTATCTCGAAAAACTCATTAGTCGGGACTCTCGTAAGTCAAGGCCCCACTGTAACTTCAAAATGCAATGGGTATTTAATTTTAAAGCGTGCCTTTAACATTTATGTAAAACGTTTTTTTGTACTAGTTCAATAGAAACTTATCTGGCCACTGGGTAAAACTAGCAATAAAACTACTGTTCCGCAAGCCAGCTCTTCTTGTCTTTGATCAGTTCCAAGCACATTTAACAGAAAAGACAAAAAGGGTTGCATCAGATTTGCAAACAAACCTAGCAGTTACTCCTGGTGGACTTACAGGTCAGCTACAGTCACTAGATGTTTCAATCACCAAGCCATTTAAAGCCCTGATGAGAGAAGAATGGAGTAGATCGATACAAAAAGTAGGTGATACCTTGACATGGACAGGACGAGTGAAAAAAACAACCATTACTGAGGTCTGCATTTGGGTCCTAAACTCGTGGTATGGCATCAAACAATAGGTGATTGTGAAGTCCTTCAGGAAATGTGGAATCAGCAATGCCATGGATGGAATTGAGGACGATCTCACATATATAGACAGTGACTCAGCAGTCAGCAGTGATACAATAGAAGTTGAAGAAATTGATATGTCTGGAACCAATAGTGATGAAGAAGAGAACAGTGATGCAACAGAGGCTGAATAAAGTGATATGCTGCATAATATCATAGTACTGGTATGTGAACATTACCTGCAGTAATTACTAAATAAAAATATGTTCTGTTTTATGTTCAAAATATTGATTTTTTAAATTTTGGGTTGGAAAAGTGGGAGGTGTCTTATACATGGGGGTATCTTATACACGGAAAAATATGGTACTTTACGGCTTCTCTTTGGCATCCGAATTGCCAGCTTCATACTTTTCTTGAGGGTTACTTGGATACAAGCACTGTGTTACTGCAGAGAGGGCTTTAAATGACCAACATATACAGTGCGGATATACTGGACAAAGGAATGATTCATGTCCCAGGGGGGACGAATGAGACAGTGCAGGTTTTCATCATGGTACTCAGAATGGCACACAATTTAAAATTACGAATTGTATGGAATTTTACATGTAATATTTCCTGATGTAGCTAAACCTGGGATAAAGGGGAGGGACTGCTGTATACATAAAAGAGAAAAGATCAGAGGGCCCTGCTCTGGAGCACTTCAGTCTTTAGCATCCTGAGGATACAGTGAGGACCTAGCAAAGGAAACAAAGTGGCAGGCGAGGCAGGAGGAAAACCAGTGTATTGTCCTAGACTTCAAGTCCTTGAGAAGTGGGAACAGATGTTTGGATTTACATTGTGGGGGTCATTTGTGACCTTGATTAGAAGTTTTGTTGGAATGTTGGGGAGGTGAAGGCTTGATTGGAGTGAGTTCAAGAGAGTGGCATGAGAACTTGGAGATTTCTGCAGGTTTTGCACTAAAGAGGAAAGAGATTGGGCAGAAGCTGTAGTGGGAAGGGATTTTTATTTTTTTAGGATATATCAGCATGTTTGTATACTGATGAGGAACACACATTAGAGAGAGAAAATCTGATGCAGAGGAAGGAGAATTGCTCTTGCGATACCTTTGAGTAAGTGAGAGGGGACAGGACCGGTATACAAGACAAGAGGAGGCATTGGCCTTTGCCAGGAGCATGGATAAGTTTGTCTATAGTAAAAGAAAAGATGAGTGTAGGTAGGTTGACATGCAGATTGGAACTTTTGATTATTTTCCCTGTGAAATAGGAAACAAGATCTTGAACTAAGAATAAGGATGGTGGAGGTGCTAGAAGTTTGAGGAGAGCGAAAGTCTGGTTATGTAGGAGAATAGGAGTGAATGGACTAGGCAATTAGGATGAAGGCCAGGCAATATTACAGATTTACTTGAGGTTAGTGATCATATATTTATTTAAAGTAAGACCAGTCAGCCCCCTTCAGCTGTGAAGATACAGGTGCAAAGTAGACAGATTTGGATTTTTTTTTATTTTTTTTTATTTTTATTGATTTCAGAGAAGAAGGGTGAGGGGGGGAGAGAGAGAGAAAGAGAGAGAGAGAGAGAAACATCAGTGATGAGAGAATCATTGATTGGCTGCCTCCTACTGGGGATCAAGCCCACAACCCAGCATGTGCCTTTGACTGGAATCGAACCCCGGGACCCTCAGTCCACAGGCTGGTGCTCTATCCACTGAGCAAAACCAGCGAGGGTGAGATTTGGAATTTTAGAAGATTGTGGTTTAGCCAAGGGAATATGATTGTGATAGAGGGCAAAGGAGTTGAGGATGTGTGCAAGAAAGAGTGATTATTATATTTGACTCTGGAATTTATGATGAATAAGATGGGAAATGAGGATATGAGAGGTTCTGAGGCTCAGTGAAAAGGTAGTACGGTCAGTGGATTGTAGGTCCTGGCAGAGTTGAAAAATTTAGAGACGGCATTAGATGGAGGAAGTTGAAAAGGTAGAAGAATATGGAGGGAGAGTGTGCAGGGGTTTGCAGTTATGATTATAGTGAGATCTAGAGTTTGACCTCAAGAGTGAGTAGAGGAACAGTAGGCAAGGAATTGAGAAACCAAAGTATTAGAACAATTATGCAAATAGTAAAATCACCAGGACACTGATAGAGTTGATCACTTGGCCGAGGTAGTTTGTCAGTTCTCTCCACTATACAGTTATATCAGTATGGACTCATGGATGTTTATTTTGTAATTTGGATTATAATTCATGACTATCCAATTATTGTGGGTGGTTGTTTTTTTTTTTAACACGTCCTTACTTTCTGTCACTACACGATTCTCCAGGCTCATTTTGTATAGTTCCTGTCCCTGTCCTAGAATCAGTTACTTCTCCAAGGAACCTAGTTTCTTTTTTGGACAATGGTATTAAAAATGGAGGTCTGGCCCTGGCCGGCATGATTCAGTGGTTAGAGCTTTGTCCCGTGCACAGAAGTGTCATGGGCTGGATTTCAAGTCAAGGGCATGTACCTGGGTTCCAGGTTGGACCCCCCAGTTGGGGCCTGTGCAATCCATGTGTCTCTCTCACTCTAAGGAGAGCTAAGGATTTTGGAATTCATTATTCAGTCAACATATAGGAAGAAGAGTTAGAAGGAGGAAAAGAAATTAAGTTATTTTGACAGTTCACTGGAGGTGTTACAAAAGCTTGACTAAAGATGCTGGCTGTGGGAATGGAAATGTGGTTGCAGATGTAATACAGAAAATGGTCAAAACTTGATTATCGATGAAGTGTGGAGTTCAAGGATAGAGTACTTAAAGATGAAGCTCAGATTCCAGATGTACCTGAGCCAGGATATTTGGGAGGGTGGTTGTGTGTTAACACATATAGTGTTTGTTTGTGTGTGTGTGTTTTAATGTTTTTATTGATTTTTAGAGAGAAAGGAAGGGAAAGGCACAGAGAGATAGAAACATCAATGAGAGAGAAACATCTTCACTCGGCTGCGTCCTCCACACCCCCCACTGGGAATCTAGCCAGCAACCCGGGCATGTGCCCTGACCAGGAATCAAACTGGTGACCTTGGTTCTTGGGCCGATACTCAACCGCTGAGCCACACTGGCCGGGTACATATAGTAGTTTAATGATACACTTGAGGTACCGGTGCCACATTTGGTGGAAGTATTGACTAGGCAATTGGAAAAATGCTCCTAAACTTCAGAAGAGATGGTGGGTCCAGAAATTAAATTAGGAGTCATCTGAGTAGAAAGGGTGGTTGAAGGCTGAGTATTAAATGAGATTGCCAAGGAGGGAGGTGTAGAGAGTGAAAAAAAAGAACTACGGACTCATCCTTAGGAAACTTCCTGTGTTGACAGGTATGGAAAAAGAGGGAGCCAGAGTAGGAACTTCGGTTAGAGACAAAGTGAAACCTGAGAACAGTCCAAGGAGAAGGGAGTAGGGAAAATACTTATTGTAGGGAAACATTTGAATTACAGACTCTATTTAATAAAAAGTTGTACATAATTTATATGTACAACTTCATTGTAAGTTAGGTTATATGCCAATAGATAAAACAATGCAAGTTAATGAAACTCATTATTTTGCAGGAAACCTGCATTATTATATATTATAAATAGAACAGTTGTTTAGCATTGAAAAATATTTTGTTGGACTTAGAGATTGAAGAAATCTTTTGATAGTAGAATATTAATCAGTTGTCTTCTTTTTTTTTTTTTTAATATATTTTATTGATTTTTTACAGAGAGGAAGAGAGAGGGACGAAAAGTTAGAAACATTGATGAGAGAGAAACATTGATCAGCTGCTTCCTGCACACTCCCTAATGGGGATGTGCCTGCAACCAAGGTACATGCCCTTGACCGGAATCGAACCTGGGACCTTTCAGTCCGCAGGCCGACGCTCTATCCACTGAGCCAAACCGGTTCTAGCTCAGTTGTCTTCTTAATTGGAAGTCTGGAAGGTTTTTTTTGTTGTTTAATCCTCACCTGAGGACATGCTTAGAGAGAGGAAGGGGGAGAGAGAGAGATCAATAGGTTGCCTTCCGTACATGGCCAAAGTGTGTGCTCTGACTCGGAATTCAGCGGGCAGCCTTTCAGTGCATGGGGTGACACTGCCTTGAAGGTTTAAAAGATAAGGAATTTTCATTTGTTTTGTTCTGTGGGAAAAATCTCTGCTGTAACTGATTGGACAAATTCTGAATAGTGAAATTTTACCGAATTTGACCATGTACCTTCAACACTTTTTTAGTATATTTTCGCAGAAGTATTCATAAGTAGTCTATTAGGGATAAAAATATCTACAAATGTACTGTTGCTTTTTCCCTAAGTAACTTTTCGATTTTATCCTTTCCAGGATTTGACTGGCATAGAATCTATGGATCAATGTCGACATACCTTGGAACAGCATAACTGGAACATAGAGGTACAACAGGATTTATTCTGAGCTTCTTTCTTTTTAAAATATATTTTTATTGATTTCAGAAAGGAAGGGAAAGGAAGAGAGAAATAGAAACATCAATGATGAGAGAGAATCATTGATTGGCTGCCTCCCACCCCCCCCCCCCCCCCCCCCCCTAAGGATTGAGCCTGTAACCCGGGCATGTGCCCTTGACCTGAATCGAACCTGGGACCCTTCAGTCTGCAGGCCGATGCTCTATCCACTGAGCCAAACCAGTCAGGGCTGAGCTTATTTTTTTTTCCATGGTCTAATAATGATTCAAAGACATGTATTTTTCCACAGCTGTAATCTTTTCTTTTAGTAGAGCTGGTTTTCAAATTTCCAACTCTTTAAGTCCTTAAAAATGAATGTGTGGACCCTGACTGAGTAGCTCAGTTGGTTAGAGCGTTGTCCCGATAGCAAGTGTAATCCCTGGTCAGGGCACATACAAGAATCAATCAATGAGTATATAAATGAAAGCATAAATAAGTGGAACAACAAATTATGTTTCTCTATCTCTTTTTTCTGTCTCTCTCAAATCAAAAAATGAATGTGTAGCGCGGCCGGCATGGCTCAGTGGTTGAGTGTTGACCTATGAACCAGGAGGTCAAGGTTCAGTTTCCAGTCAGGGCACATGCCCAGGTTGTGGGCTTGATCCCCAGTGTGGGGCGTGCAGGAGGCAGCCGATCAATGATTCTCTTTCATCGTTAATATTGCTATCCTCTCCCTCTCCCTTCCTCTCTGAAATCAGTAAAAATATATTTTAAAAATAATGGGTAGAAAAAGTGAAGCTTTATGATCAAAGTTTATAAAATAGAAAAGGTAGTGACCAAATTCCTCAATATAGTGCCTACTTCTTGTGTGTGTGTGTGTATACTGAGTGGCCAGATTATTATGACCACCCCATCAGTACTTCGTTGGGCCACCTTTTGCCTTCAATACTGCAGCGATTCTTCTTGGCATTGACTCCACGAGATGTTGAAAGGTGATGCGAGGAATCTGACACCATGTCTGATGAATAGCACCGTCCAGTTCTGTGAGATTTGATGGTTGTGGAACCAGCTGCCTGATGGCCCTTTTAACTTCGTCCCACAAATGCTCAATTGGATTGAGATCTGGTGATTGTGGGGGCCACCTAAACAAGGTAAAGTCTCCCTCATGTTCTTGAAACCACTCCTGCACAATACGAGCACCGTGGCATGGCGCATTGTCTTGCTGGAAGAAGCCATCACCATTGGGGTACGCCATCTACATGATAGGATGAACTTGATCAGCAATGATACTTAGGTATGTTGTGCTGTTCAGACGTTTATAATGGTCTGGCCCTCTAGCAACTTCAGAGCGAAATTATACCTAATCTGCCTACAGATTAGGTGGTCATAATAATCTTGCCACTCGGTGTGTGTGTGTATTTAATGGCTCTTTGGGGGAAAACTATTGTTTTTTTCAATGTCAGTTAATAATGGTGATAGCAAACATCTTGTCTTCACTATAACATTTCTTGTTTTGTTATTACTGTGATTACTGTGATATTGGTGGTTGTTTTGAGATAGATCCATTTGAGTAGAGATATTTGTTTTTACTGGTTTTGTTAACTAGTATATTCCCCCATTTCCTCCCTTCCCTTCTCTCTAAAAAAATCAATGGGAAAAATATCCTTATATCCTTGGGTGAGGATTAACAACAAAATAGAGTGGATGTTGAATTTTATCAAACACCCTTTGATCTCTTGAAATTACTGTTTCAATTATGGTATGTTACTTGAATAGGGTGCTGGATTTCTGAAAATACATGTATTCCTGAATGAACCTGTTTCTGATCCATTAAATTTTAGGCTCTGGCATCCTACCAATGAATGAAACTAAGTCCCTACTCTCATGAAACTTAAGTCTAGATAATTTGTGCTCATAATAAGTGCTATGAATGAGTGTAGGAAATGTAATAGGATCTAAGAACTTATTTTGATTTATTTTCTTTTTTTGAGAAATTATTTTATTTATTTATTTAATATATTTTATTGATTTCAGAGAGAGGAAGGGAGAGAGAGATGGAAACATCCACGATGAGAATCATGGATTGGCTGCCTCCTGCACGCCTTCTACTGGGGATTGAGCCCACAACCCAGGCATGTGTCCTGACTGGGAATTGAACCGTGACCTCCTGGTTTATAGGTAGATGCTCAACCACTTAGCTATGCTGGCCGGGCAAGAAGTTATTTTAAATAGGGTGGTCAAGTAAGGCTTTTTTGAGGAGGTTAAATTTGAGCTGACGCCTGAATACAAATGAAATGAATGTGCCTGAATGTGAAAATTTTGAGGGAATTGCATTTGAGGCATAGGGAATAATGTTGCTTTACAAGATATTTTTGTACTATCTCCTCATTAGATTTTCACTTCAAGCATATGCTGGCTTTATAAAATGACTTTACTTGATAAAATGAGTTGAGAAGTATAAATAGCATAGATTTGAAAGAAAATACTTGTGCCCGGCCAGTGTGGCTCAATGTGAGCATTGACCCATGAACCAGGAGATCAAGGTTCGATTCCCAGTCAGTCACATGCCTGGGTTGTGGGCTCAATCCTCAGTAGGGGGCGTGATGATTCTCTCTCATCATTGATGTTTCTATCTTTCCCTCTCCCTTCTTCTCTGAAATCAATAAAACCCTATTTTTTTTAAAAAGGAAAGAAAATACTTGTTTCTGCCTTTCTCTATGTTTTCCCCCATCATTCATAATCTGTTTCCTAGATCTTTCTTGGTAAGCTTTCTTAGAAAATGCTTTCTTTTTAGAGATTTTCAAGTTTTTTAGCATAGGCTATACAAAGTAGCATATCTTTTACTTTCTTCTGTATCTGTCCTGTTATCCCCTCTTCTGTTTTTTTTTCAATGTTTATTTTCCTTTTTTAAAAATGAGACTTGCTAGGGACTGGTTTATTTTCTTATTTTTTTGTTTATGAAAAATCTCATTTCAGTTATTTTTTCTATGTTTTTATTTATTAAGAAAATTCTATCTTTAATCTATTTTCATGCTTTTGTAGGGTTATGTTCTTTTTTTTAGGGGCATTGTCTACACTGTATTCTCTTTCTTTCTCTCTCTCTCTCTCTCTCTCTCTCTCTCTCTCTCTCTCTCTCTCTCTCTCTCTCTCTTTTTCTATGTTGTATATTCTGTAGGTGGCTCTCCTTAGGCTTGTACATTGAAGCACCTTACTTCCCAGCCACCCTCAATAGCACAGGCTATCTGAATAAAAGCAGTGTGCTTGCTGCACAAATGGTGCTTCCAGACAAGTTCTTTGTATTGCTCTGTTGTCTGTGGATTCTGGAGTCATACCACACATTATCTCCCACCATAACAAGTGAAAGGTCCAAGAAGATAACACTTCTCAGGTTACCTGTTTTATAACACTAAGCAACAGTTGCCTCATCTCTTCTTCTGAGTTGATTTGAGCATCACTGAAATTCTTTCTACACTTTTTTCCTTCTCAGGCTGCTGTACAGGACAGATTGAATGAGCAAGAGGGTGTACCAAGTGTTTTCAACCCACCTCCATCACGACCCCTGCAGGTGAACACAGCTGACCACAGGATCTACAGCTATGTTGTCTCAAGACCGCAACCAAGGGCAAGTGACTTCATCACTGGAATTCCCCCCTTTATAAGTCCATTCACGTGGTTGTGTTGGTCTCTGTGTGATAGGAGCAAGAGAGATACTCAGAATGGATAGCTGGACCTGGCTCCTTGGTAGATTTATTAGGTTTATTATTTTCCCTTGATTCTTTTTTCCCCTTGAGCCCACATTCCCTCCCACTTCCTTGATTCTTTAATGAAGTGATATAGTAACTGCCCATTTTGTGTGTGTGTTGGGGTAGGGGTTTTTTTTGCCAGTTATTTGAAACAGTTTCTGCACCTTGTTTTTTGAGTAATTGTATTTACATGTCTAAAAATGTTTGCTACATGTTGACTAGATATTCCACTTTTTTGTTTTTTAATCCTCACCCAAGAATATGGTCTTAGTGATTTTAGAGAGAGAGGAGGGGTGAGGGAGAGAGAGAGAGAAACATCAGTTTGAGAAACATTGATCCTTTGCCTCACACATGAACCCCGACTGGAGATCCAAGCTGCAAACCTTTTGGGAATATGGGACGACACTCCAGCCAACTGAGCCACCGGGGCAGGGCTAGACCTCCACTTTTAAGTTAGAATGTTTACTGAGTTCTTTGTTGCTTTATTTTACTTAATTTTAAGCTAATTCTAGGGAAATGCTTGGAATCTTTGTTGAGAGCCTTCACCATATCTTTAAAATTAGTCTTTAAGGGTTAGTAGCAAGGAAGTGGTACAGTTAAATTCAGCTTTAAGAGCGCTCCAGTGGACCTGGTATTTGGCTGCTGGGGATCCAGAGATGAATGATGAGCCAGTTCTCCCTTTCACATTGCTCACAGTCTAATTAGGGAGGTCAGATGTGAATACAGTACTGGTAATGGACTCCAGAGAACTTTCTGGACTTTCTCTTTTTAAATATATATTTAAAAATATGTATATTTTAGAGAGGAAGGGAGAGGGGGAGAGAGATAGAAACATCAGTGATAAGAGAGAATCATTGAACAGCTGCCTCCTGCATGCCCCCTACAGGGGACTGAGCCTGCAACTGGGCATGTGTCCTTGACTAGAATTGAACCTGGGACCCTTCATTCTGCAGGCCGACACTCTATCCACTGAGCCAAACCAGCTAGGGCATGGAGTTACTCGTAATTCTTGGAGTTACACTGACCTCTTGTACTTGGATTTAGAATTCCAAGAGAGTACTCCCTTTAACTTTGTAGCAGTTAGAATTTCTTCCATCATTATACCTTTTGTGAGCACTTGACAGTGTTTTAAAATGGAGTTTCTAAGTAGTTGTTTTGGGGTATTTTGAAGTAGAAGAGCAGATGGATTCCTATAGCAATTGTATATCCCAGTGTTTCCTTTGTTTTTGGCTTGTCTCAGTGTTTTAAGCCCTTATGTTAGCTATGAGGCTCCAGAGCTCCCTGGCTATGGACACAGGGAGGGTTTCAGGTTAACACAGTATGATATATAAGAAATGCTTTGTAAACTATAAACCTCTCTCTATATATGCTAATTACAACAGCAGCAATAATCAACATTGTTAAAGTAATAATTAGCATTATTACTAAGATTAGCAGCTATATGGAGATTTATAATTGTGGTTAATATAATTGTCAACTGTATACATGTCCAAGGCAGTAAAAGTTTTCTTTCTTGCTATTTCTGCATACCATATTTTAATACGTAAATGTGAAAAAAGGAAAGAAGGAATAATTGTGATTTGGGGAGGAAAACTTGCAATTGAGTTTGTCAGCTAATATAAGTAAATGCAGAAAAATTGTTGGAGCAGATTTTAATTCAAAAATTGTGTGATAAAAGAAAAATATATGATAGTATTAAATGAAATGAGATCAAAGATGGTCTTTAAGGAGACTGAGGTGGCCAGGAAGAGGAACCATATTGCAAAGGGAGAAATCACATGAAGAACAAACAGAGTAAAAAATTGAACTAGCCTTGTTGTAAGATATTAGTGAATGAATGAGTGGTATCTAACTTTATTTTTGGAATTCCAGGGGCTGCTCGGATGGGGTTATTACTTGATAATGCTTCCATTCCGGTTTACCTATTACACAATACTTGATATATTTAGGTACGTACCTTTGTATTTATGTGTTAGCAATAAGGTAGACTTTGAAGCGGAAAGGTAGACCAGAATAAAATTTATACTCTATCAATTTTGATTTGGCAATATGACATCAGATTGAATATTCCTCTTAAACAATCTTTTTATGAAGTATGAACATATTTTAAATTATTCAAACATAACAGATGATGTGAAATGAAATTGTTTGAAACTAGTCTTGCTTATCGTTTTCAAGAATCTACCACATTTATTATTATCTTCCCTCCTCCCACCATGTTTGTCACCTCAACATTCTCTAGTTAATTCACCCTTTCCTTTCTAACCACCATATCTACTAGCTTCAGATTACTTGTAATTTTTACCCTAACCCATCTAGATAACTCCATCTGACTACTGATAATCCAAAAAAATTATCCTGCTCTCAGATTATTCACTTTTCTCCAGACTCCCTTACAAGTTTCACCTCTCTAGACACTCCTATACAATTCCTTCTGTTCAGGCTGATAATACTGGAGCCTTTGTGTATGTATACCCCCTTGCTTCACACTTAACCTTTTTTCTTGCTTCCTTCATGTACCATTTGGAGAGCTCAGCACTAGAAGCTACAGAGGAGCCAGGGCTAGAAAATGTCCAGGGGCTCCAAATTGCTGGCACATTAGGTTTGGGCGTCTGGTCTAGAGCTGAGTAGTAGACGAACCCACACCTAGGCTTTATAGGGAACTAAAATGTTTATGGGCCAATAGGTAGAGCTTGACTCTGTGGTCTGGACCTTGCATATAGGATAACTTGGACCTCCCTCAAATGTGGGATAGCCTTTGCCTGGCTCTAGGGCAGCGGTCGCCAACTGGTGGTCCTCGAGGTCCGAAAGGTTGGCGACCGCTGCTTTAGGGAATAGAGGTCTTACGTGAGGCCCCAGCAGCTGTACAAGTGCAAGGTTCAGACAACACCTTTTACCTTGGTCATTTAGTGTCTTTTTGTTGTTGTTTTGTTAATCCTCACCTGAGAATATTTTTTCCATTGATTTTTTTTTTTTTAGAGGAAAGGGAGGGAGACAAGGGGGGAGAGAAACATCTATGTGAGAGAGAAACACATCGATTGGTTGCCTCCCACACACACCCAAACTGGGGTGGGGGATCGATGGAACCTGCAACCCAGGTATGCCTTTGACTGGGATTCAGTACTCTGGCCAACACTCTAACCATTGAACAATGCTGGCCAGGGCCATTTAGTGTTTTAGGAGCCTGCTTGCTGAATGGCTTTCTTGCTTTAGCAAAGTTTTTATAGATCAACAATTAACCAATTAGTACTCTTTTCATCCCTGTTTATTTAAGAATGAGCATGTAAAAACCTTTAAAATCTTAATGAAGACCAAGTTGATATCTCTATTTTTTTAAGCTAATTGTCCTAAAGTATCCTTTATTATAAAACCCTAATATGCAAATCAATCCAACAGTGGAATGACAGGTCGCTATGACACTCACTGACCACCAGGGGGTGGACGCTCAACATAAGAGTTGCCCCCTGGTGGTCAGTGCGCTCCCACAGGGGGAGCGCCGCTCAGCAGAAAAGCCGGGCTCGGGCTCGCAGCTGGCCAGTGCAGCAGCGGTGGTGGGAGCCTCTCCTGCCCCTGAGGCAGCGCTAAGAACCCCTAAGGGGATGCCCACCTGCCGGCTTAGGCCCACTCCTCTCGGGGGAACAGGCCTAAGCCGGCAGGCAGACATTCCTGAGGGGTCCCAGACTGCGAGAGGGCACAGGCTGGGCTGAGGGACACCCCCCCCCCCCTCCTCAGTGCACGAATGTCGTGCACTGGGACTCCAGTATATTATAATGAGAAACAAAAAAGGTAAATCCTTTATCCATTCATTCATCGAAATGGAACTTAAAGACTATTAAGATAATCCTAAAACTAATTTCAGAGAAAGTTATCAAACATCAATCTTCTACAGGATTTCTACTCACATAAACAGCTTTTTTGTTAATTAAATTTATTGGGTGACATTGGTTAATAAGACTATATAAGATTCAAGTGTATGATTCTATAATATATCTGTATGTGCATTGTGTGCTCACCACTTAAAGTTTAGTCTCCCTAATGTCATCATTTATTTGACTGTACACAGCTTCTTACATTTGTTTTTAATTTGCTCTGGAATGTTTGTGTCAGTCAGTTTGATTTGATTACTCAGGAGAAATTCCAAGTGAAATTGTATACTACTACACATTAGGAGTTTGAGGGGGTAAGGAATTGCAATTGTTTTAAGATTTGGTAAGGAAAGTGTCATAGTTTAGTCACCTTTTCTGTGCTGAAATTTTCTCAAGTATATGAATATTGTTTGTTTTCCGTGGAAAAAAATATGCATGGCATGTGTTACTAATTTGAAAAATATATGTTATTTTTATTAATTTCAGAGAAGAACGGAGAGGGAAAGACAGATAGAATCATTGATCGGCTGCCTCCTGCATGTCCCACACTGGGGATCAAACTCGCAACTCAGTCCTGTCCCCTAACCAGGAATCAGACTGTGGCCTCCTGGTTCATAGGTGGAGGCTCAGTCACTGAGCAATGCTAGCCGGGCATGTGTTACTAATTTTAAGAAAACTGTATCATCTAAGCAACTTGTTTAATGTTATGTAACATTGCCTTCTATGGAAATCCAAAGGACAAATAAATGGTGCTATGCAAATAAAATAAGATGGGCTCTTTAGAAACAGACCATCCTTTATCTTACAATAGCTGCCAGGCCCCCAAATCTGCCAGTGCACTCTAGATCAATTCAACAGTCTCCTCTGAGGATGCCATCAACCATAAATCATCATGCAGAATTTACTTGCCCCTTTGAAGAGCAAGTAAATCATGACTACAAGTTCAGGTTTCAAGTTCCTGTCCATAATTCGAATAGCTTGGGAGTATGCACTAAAAATTCAAAATTCCTAGAGTGACTGGGGAACTGAAATTTTTGTTGTATTTTACTTAATTTAAATTTTGGTAGCCACGTGCCTTGTGCCTCCCATATAGATGGTGCCCATATGGAGAGTCTGGGGCACAGCTTGATCCATGATCTTTTGGATACTGTGTCTTTCTTTCCCAGTTCTTCTAGCTGTAAATTTTTCTGCAGAGAGCACTCAGGGTTTGTTAGGGTCAGTATTGAAATTTATAATCCTCGTAGTTCACATTCTTCTTGAATAGGTGATGGAACAACACTTGCTGCTTTGCAGCTTTTGAGCCAGGCTCTCATCTCAGTTTTGAGGTCCACTCCCCACCTCCGTTTGCTGCCTTGCCTCTGGTACAGGAATCTTTACAAACTGGCCCGTCCACATGCACTACAGTAAGCCAATTCATGTGATATTTATTCCTTCCTCCCCAGGTTTGCTCTTCGTTTTATACGGCCTGACCCTCGCAGCCGGGTCACTGACCCCGTTGGGGACATTGTTTCATTTATGCACTCTTTTGAAGAAAAATATGGGAGGGCACACCCTGTCTTCTACCAGGGAACGTACAGCCAGGTCAGTGCCACAAACCATATAGATGCCAATTTATTGATATGATTCTCTCCACAAAGGAAAGGAAAGCCCAGCACTGATCATGTCATGATCATTCTTTTACTGAGAAACCTTAAATTGCTCTTAACTATTTACAGAAAAAAGGACCAAACCTTCTAGCTGGGCCCTCCTTGATCTAATCCTAACCTCCCTTTGAGGTCTTACCCGCATAACTTGTTTCCCCAATATCCTAGGTTCCAGCTAAACTGCTTCCTGAACAGTCTGTACTTTCCCACCTCTGTGCCTTTGCTTTTGCTGTTCCCTCCACCTGCAATGCTGTCCTCACATTTTTGCTAATTAGATCTTACCCGTCCTTCAACCAGCTCATGTCATTCCCTTCTTATGCCCTGTAGTGATTGTTATGTCCTACCCTGGCCTACTTTGCGATTTAAGTAGTGCTTTCATAGTGTTGTTTTTAATCTTATAGTAATTTCACGTTTTTCTCTGTATTTAGTTATTTGTGTCAGTGTCTTCTTTCCTATACCTTTGAAGGCAAAGCCTGAAGTCTTCTTTGATCCCTCACAGAGTTGAATAAGGGCATAGACCATAGATTCAAGGCAGCACATCTCAGTAGCCCAAACCTCACCGACCTTTGACTTGTTACTTCGGGGTGAAAATGAAGAGTTCTATGGGTTTTAAGTGTATTTCTAGTTTGCCAGAGAAAACTGTAGAAATAACACTATAGGCATAGGCCAAAGGGTAGTTGTATTCTATAGCCCCCAGGATTCCCAAATCTATCTGGAGAAATAGAAAAGTGCTTACTCTCGCTTCCTGCTTTGATTCTCTCACATCTGCTTTTTCTCAGTCTCCCTCACTGGCTGCTCCCACCCCACTGGATAAGCATTAGGCACCTACTATATGCTAGTCATTGTGCTCAGTGCTGGCGATACTGAATGAGATAGGCACCTCTCATACACTCTCTCTGCTGTGATCCTGATGTGGAGGGTAGACCACGACTGCTCATTCAGGAAATCTTAATTGAATTGTAATGGACTACGATTATGCAAATGCAAAAGCACACACGGGAATCTTGGACACTAGCCTGGTCTTTGAAGATCTTTTCAACCCCATGCTCTTTAGAGCATCTTTGGGTCCCACCGTCCCTCATTCCTGCTTGGTAGATAGCCTGGGATCCTCTTTGCAGTATTTTTTATTTTCAAGGATGTCGGAGCTGTAAAGTGGCAAAATTCTCACCTCCCTTTTCAGGTGGTCAGACACTCCTGTTTTTATCTTCCTTTAGACTGGCAACAGCTGACGTCTGTGATTTGTTGGGGACCTTTCTTTGTCAGCTCTCTACTCTCAGGTGCCTGATACAACTAAAATGTTTTTATTAATGCTTGTTAGCATGGACTTTGCATAGGGAGATAAACTCCATGGGTGTGAGAGTAGTAGTCCAGGACTTTTGATTTTTTGCTTACTTTTTTTCCTCATTTCTCCTTTTGTTCCTAAATGTATCCATTAGGACCATTAGCCTAATTAAAAGCTCAAGGTACAGTCATCCTAATAATTAGTGATCTTCTGTTTCCCACAGGCACTGAATGATGCCAAGCGGGAGCTTCGCTTTCTCTTGGTTTATCTTCATGGAGATGATCACCAGGACTCTGATGAATTCTGTCGGTGAGTGGATTGATCATTTTCTTTCTCTTCTGACCTTATCTGCTGAGAGTTTACAGTAAGCAAGTTCTCTCCTGTCCTTTTTATCCCTCTCCACAGCAACACCCTCTGTGCCCCTGAAGTTATTTCACTAATAAACACTAGGATGCTCTTCTGGGCGTGCTCCACAAATAAGCCTGAGGGCTACAGGGGTAAGTTGTGTTTCTTCTGCCTCATTGTGATTATAGGGATATCTTTGGAATAATCTGGAAAGACTTGCCATTTATTGCATGATTATTCTATGGTAGACACAATGTTAGTTGCTATTTATACATTATCTCATTTAATCTTCTCAGCAGTCCTGAGAGAGAAGGTTGTATTACACCTCCACTTCCTGGTGTAGGAAACAGGCTTAGAGATTGAAGCCTGTCCACAATCACACAGTTAGCAAGTTTTGGAGTAAGCTCAGGTTTTTTAGACTTTAGCCCATGCTTTTCTTTCTTTTTTTAATTAAAACATTTTTTTAAAATATATTTTATTTATTTTTTACAGAGAGGAAGGGAGAGAGATAGAGAGTTAGAAACATCGATGAGAGAGAAACATCGATCAGCTGCCTCCTTCCTGCACATCTCCCACTGGGGATATGCCCGCAACCCAGGTACATGCCCTTGACCGGAATCGAACCTGGGACCTTTCAGTCCGCAGGCCGACGCTCTATCCACTGAGCCAAACCGGTTTTGGCTTAATTAAAACATTTTTTTTCAATTACAGTTGACATTCAATATTAGTTTCAGGTGTACCGCATAGTGGTTAGACATTTATATAACTTATGGAGTGATCCCCCCAATAAGTCTAACACCACCTGGCACCCTACATAGTTAAAACGATATAATTGATTATATTCCCTATGCTATACTTTACATCCCCGTGACTGTATCTGCCAATTTGCACTTCCTGATCCCTTTACCTTTGTTCATCCAGACCCCCACTCTGGTCCATTCTAATAATCCTCACCTGAGGATATGTTTTGGTTTTTTTAATTGATTTTAGAGAGAGCGAAACAAAAACATAGTTCTGTTGCCTTCCACAACATGCCCCAGCTAGGGATTGAACCTATAACCTGCGTATATTCCCTGACTAGGAATTGAAGCCATCAGTTCCTTCTGGTGTACAGGATGACTCCAACCAGCTGAGCCACATCAGTCAAGGGCTTGCCTTTAATCTTAATGGGCTTCTTACTGAAGAGCTTATTCTCATCATCCGTAATTTTAATAGAGCTTCTTGCACAATGAGTTAGTTATTTGAGTACCTTGAGTGCCGATAGGGATTCAGAAAGTTCAGCTCTTTGCTGATAATGACTCTTACAGTATTTTTAGAAGTCAGTATGAAACATAAGGGCTTCCAGTGGGGAAAAAAAATGTAGTTATAGTGCAGCTACTTCTGTTCAGCAACTTTTGAGTGAATACTAGCATATCAGCCACTATGCTAGATCCTGAGAACCAAAGCTGCAACAGATGTTTGCCTACATCCTGGAATCTGAATCTTTACTCCCAATTGGTTTTTAAACGTCTCTAAGTTCCTACAGCATGCATTTGCCATGCTAATTAATACAGCTTTGGAGGGTGGATGGTGGATAGGAGACTAAAGATATATTTTTAAAAAAATATATTTTATTGATTTTTTTACAGAGAGGAAGGGAGAGGGATAGAGTGTTAGAAACATCAACGAGAGAGAAACATCCATCAGCTGCCTCCTGCACACCCCCCACTGGGGATGTGTCTGCAACCAAGGTACATGCCCTTGACCAGAATTGAACCCGGGACCCTTGAGTCCGCGGGCCGATGCTCTGTCCACTGAGCCAAACCGGTTAGGGCGAGACTAAAGATTTTTTTTTTTTAATATATTTTATTGATTTTTTACAGAGAGGAAGAGAGAGACAGAGAGTCAGAAACATCGATGAGAGAGAAACATCGGTCAACCGCCTCCTGCACATCTCCTACTGGGGATGTGCTCGCAACCCAGGTACATGCCCTTGACCGGAATCGAACCTGGGACCCTTCAGTCCGCAGGCCGACGCTCTATCCACTGAGCCAAACCGGTTTCGGCGAGACTAAAGATATTTTTATAAAAACTTGCAAAATCTCTTAAACTGTAAGGAAATCATAGGTAAAACTTGTGGTAAAATCTTGGTTATTTAGAAGCCAACTTTACAAACGCCTTTGAAACAAAAGCTAGCTTTTTTTGCAGAGTGAAAAAAGACATGGTGAAAGGAAGGGATTGGATAAGAGAAGAGAAGAGAGAAGATGGTGATGGAGATCAGCACCAGTAGCATAAGGCTAAGACTTGAAGCCTTGTTCCCTATAGGCTTGACCTCTTCCATAGGGAAAAATTATGCTAAGTAGTAGTTAGAGTTTTATAAATCCTTTGTTACCCATCAAACAGACATTGTCCTTGAACTCTGCAGCCTTCCCTAGCATCATTGTGACCACCACACCCCCACCAGGAAAGCCTCATCTATTCTACTATAATTACCTGGGAATAGGAACACAAATATATAAGAACAACCACCACCACCAAAAGAAATCATTTAAGAAATAAGAGGGAGCCTGGCCAGTGTGACTAAGTGGTTGAATGTCAACTCATGCACCAAGAGGTCGCTGGTTCCATGCCTGGGTTGTAGGCTCGATCCCCATTAGGGGACATGCAGGAGGCAGCTGATTGATGATGTTTCTATCTCATCAATATTTCTCTCCCTCTCTCTCTCTCTCTCTCCCTCCCCCTCCCCCCCCCCTTCTCCCTTCTCCCTCTCATTCTCTCCATTCCGCTCTCTCTACAATAAAAAAAAAACACCTTTTAAAGAAACTAAGGGGGAAACGAGGCAGAGAATAAATGACACCGCCCTCTTCCCCAGCTGGGATTAAAGCAGTTCTCTCTTGCTCATTGTGGAAAGTCTAAGTTGATGTATTTTATCCCAAAGTCCTGCCCCTGACCTGTTGGGCCTTTTTTCTGTCAGTTTCACAGGCTTTACGAGAGAACACCTATCCATTCCTGGCCATGATTATGCTGAAGGATCGGAGGATGACTGTGGTGGGACGGCTAGAAGGCCTCATTCAACCTGATGACCTCATTAATCAGCTGACATTTATCATAGATGCAAACCAGACTTACCTGGTGTCAGAACGCCTAGAAAGGTACAGGGAGTTCCTCTCTAGAACTGAGAGAGAGACCAGCTGACCTTGGGCTCCACAAATCATGACTTCTCTCTCTAAGACAACTTTAAAAGCTTTGTCCATTTAGTGTTAAAATAGTTAAGTACTTTGACCTAACTCTCCATCAGATCATCTGTTCTTAGAGATGTGAATCAAAATACAAGCCAGGGTTCTGTGCTCAAGAATATAGATTGTGTCATTTAGAATATCAGGGCCTTGATATAAAGAGCTTAAATGTAGAAAGAAATGGTTGTAACTCTTTTTCCCATTTTATAAGTAATATATATTAGTTTTAGAAAATTTGGAAAACATAGAAAAGCTCAAAGAAGAAATTTAAATAATCCTACCACCACTTTGAAAATTTTGGTATATTTTCTTTTAATTATATAGACACACAGACTCCTAATGTACAAACATCATTTTTTGGAGAGAAAATAGGAAATACACCAGAATGTTACAGTGTTTTCTCTTAGTTTATTAGAACTCTGAATAAGACGTTTCTATGTTTTTCAAATCTTGTAAGATGTATGTATGTGTTTTTTTGGTTTTATGAAAGCGACATATACAAAAATGTGTGGCCCAAAGGGTTCTTTACCTGTAAAATATGCTCTGATGATCATTTTATGACAATTATACTGTGTTACTTTTGTTAGAATTTGGAAAAAATTCTTCTTCTGCCAAATGAAACTGGGAAAAGAGACGGCTTGTTCAGATTCTACCAGACTCTGCTTTGGAATCCTTTATAGTAGTGTGAAATAGTCCTCTGCCAAGATTGTAAAACTCTTTACCCCCAAAAATGTCAGTGTAAGAAAACACAGCTTGGTGAGACTGCCCTTTTCCTTCTGTGCTTTTGATCTGTCTGCAGGGAAGAACGAAATCAGACCCAGGTGCTGAGGCAACAGCAGGATGAGGCCTACCTGGCCTCTCTCAGGGCTGACCAGGAAAAAGAAAGAAAGAAACGCGAGGAGCGAGAGCGGAAGCGGCGGAAGGAGGAGGAAGTGAAACAGCAAAAGCTGGCAGAGGAGAGACGGCGGCAGGTGATGAACCTGTCTCTACTCCTGGTGACTCCCAAACCGGTCTTTTCTATCATTTTTATTGATTTTAGGGAGAGAAACATGACTGGTTGCCTCCCACTTGTCCCTCCAACCAACTGAGCCACAGCGACCAGGGCAAACCGGTCTCTTCTTGAGTGTGAAAGGAAAAATACCAGAAGATTATGGGATTGTGGGTGATTTAAACTCTCTTTGCCATTTATATGTTCACTACACTTTCACCAAAAGTATTTTAAAATTTATAAAAATTTTAATTAAAAAATACAACAGCGAGTAAAAGGTGAAACAGCGCGGTTCCATGAAAAGTAAACGTAGGTAATAAACAGGCCATGGTGCTGTTTACTCACTGCAGCAGTTTCAGGCGCACTTAGCAGCAGTGTTGGCTCATTTGGCATCGTGTGCGGTCCCGTTTCATTGTGTATTACCACTTGGCTATAGCCAGTGTTCCTCTGTTCATTCCCTTCTTTGGAAGAGGTAACCCCCAAATACAGTCAATAAATAGTGTATGTGATGCACTAGTACTCTGAATTTGGTTGTTCTGACTCTTGCCAACAAGTTTTTCTCATATTAGTTACTAATTTTTCTTTGGATGCACTAATATATGGTGATTGTATTTCTTGTTTCCCAATCGGAGCCATACCTCACCTTTGCTTTGTGTTCCTACAGAATTTACAGGAGGAAAAGGAAAGGAAGTTGGAGCGCCTGCCCCCTGAGCCTTCCCCCGACGACCCTGAAAGCGTCAAGATTATTTTCAAATTACCCAATGATTCTCGAGTAGAGAGACGATTCCACTTCTCACAGTCGTTAACAGTAAGGACTGCTTAAGCTGTGTGATGTGGATGTAGAGTCTGGCCTGTAGACTTGGAGGCTTTTAAGGAATTGCTAGAGTGGTGTTGTATCTGCTGCTCTGATGAACCGGGGAGGAAGGAGAGTAGAGAGGGAAGGCGGGCAGGAGGAGTGCAGTGAACTGTAGGTGCCTTCAGTTCTAGCTACCAATTCAAAGCTGTATTAAAGGTTCCTTTCATCAGATTTGAACTCAGCTAAGAAAAAGGGTACCTTACCAAGAAGTCCCCCACAAAACTGTGTAGAGGTGAGAGGCTCGCCACAGAGCCCACGCTGCTCTGTAGAGAAAGCTCTGTGTCCGCTGACCTAGGAGCTCCGGAATGACGCATCTGGATATAAAGGCATGCGCACTTCTCACTCAGTTGCCAGCCTCCCTTGCAGGCCATGTGAAGCCCCACTCTGTGGGGCTGCCTTGTAAATCTGGCGTCCATAGGTAAATAGTGTTTGTCAGTCCATAAGGAAGTACTTAAAAGCAGAGACTCTTATTAAAGTCTTACAGAATGAGGATCAAATTCTCATTCTTCCAGAGTTATTAGATAAGTTTCTTTTTTTGTTAATCCTCACCTGAGGATATTTTTCCATTGATTTTTTAGAGTGAGTGAAAGAGAGAGGGAGAGACAGAGAGAGAGACGTCAATGTGAGAGGGACACATCAATAGGTTGCCTCCTGCACACACCCCAACCAGGGCCAGGGATTGAGCCTACAACTGAGATATGTGCCCTTCATCGGAATCGAACCCAGGACCCTTCAGCCCGTGGGCCGACGATCTATCCATTGAGCACACTGGCTAGGGCTTAAATGTGTTTTTTTGGTCAGTTGTCTTAATTTCTAAGCCGCAATTGCTTCATCTGTAACGCAGGTGTAATAAGCACTCTCTAATAGGATCGTTAGGATTAAATTCATATGTGTAATGTTGAGCATTGTGCCTGGCTCATCATAACTCGAATGCTAACTTCTTTTTGGTATTTGTAACCAAAAAGAATTTTCTGTTTATATTGAGAGTTGATTTTCCAAATTTATAATTGCAGTAGATTCTTCCATTTCCTTAATCACTGGAAATAGTTAGGGGTCATTGCATACTAGAAATGAGGATGCATACTAGAAATGTAGTTTGCTAGCACATTTATTACTTCTTCTTGTTTAACTGGAGAAGAGGACATGTTGCAGGATCTTTTATAGAGCTTCAGATAGCCCTCTGTAAAACAGAAGTAATAATCTGCCCTCTGATAACTTTAAACTGAAGACATGTCAGGCACTGTGCTTGTCACTCTAGGGCAGCGGTTCTCAACCTGTGGGTCGCGACCCCTTCACAGGGGTCGCCTAAGACCATCGGAAAACATACATATAATTACATATTGTTTTTGTGATTCATCATTATGTTCAATTTGTAACAATGAAATTGGGGGTCACCATGAGGAACTGTATTAAAGGGTCGCAGCGTTAGGAAGGTTGAGAACCACTGCTCTAGGGGTTATCCTGATGAGTGAGTATGTGGTTCTGGAATTCATGGAACTTTCTGGCCAATAGGGAATGTAAGATTCAGAGAGCTAATATACAGTAAAAAATTATGAGCCAGCCTGGTGAGTGAGAAGCAATAGCTTCCTCATTTTATTTCTCATTTATGTATATGGGGACAAGTGCTCACGTGGCTGACTTTGGAGTTTTTAAATTGGGATAAAATAAACAAGCTTCACACAGCACCTACCATGTAGTAGGTGGTTGCTAAGTGATATCCTTTCCCTGGTGTTTCCTAACCGCTGGTTTGCACATGGCGTTTAGCTTGCAGCTGTGTTCACTAACAGCTTCCCTGTGGTGTGCGGGAGCTCCTGCTCCCAAACTCTCATTAGGAATGAGACAGACCCAACCAAGACTGACTCTCTAGGGAGTTTTGCAGGCCAACCTGTTGTAGTTGTGGAACAGAATAGGCTTGTGGCAAAGGGGAAGCCACCTATTTGTTAATTATATTTAATCCTTAACAGGTTCTCAGTAAAAATTATTTTAAAAATACAAAACAAACTCCAGACTGAGAAATACTTGGTTGTAAATGGGGACAAGGCTCAGGGGTGGGAAAGAAGTGTAGTGGCAGTTCTGGCCTTTAATTGAACACTCATCTAGTTAATAAGCTACAGCCGAATAATTGGTACTTGTGTCATCTTCCTGTGAGCTCTGCCCTTCATAAATAACCTCAAGGAGGGGTGAATGTTCAGTGAGATGGTCAATTTGACCTTAATGTCCAGCTCTTGATAGTGGTAAAATGCTAAAATAACAAAGGGTAAACTGTAGAATAATCTCTAGGCCCCATGAGTGGGCAGAAAAGTGGCAGCCGACTTGCTATTAAATGATGCATCTGCAAGAGAATCCAAATTATACTCAGCCCAGAATTCATTTTTTACCAATTACAAATCCAAAGGACCTCTTGTGGTGGTGTCATACGTTTCCTGTTGCCCATTGTCAGTGGTAACAAAAAATGCCAGTTTTGTACCAAGGTTGAGAACGATAGTCCCCCTTTATCTGTTGTTTCAGTCACCCATGATCAATTGCAGTCTGAAAATATTAAAATCCAGAAATAAAAAATTCATCAGTTTTAAGTTATATACTGTTCCGAGTAGCATGATGAAATTCTTCTCTGCCCTGCTCAGGACATGAATTATCCCTCTGTCTAGCATAGCCATGCTGTGTACCTCCCTGCCCCATTCTTGGTTGTCAGAGAGAGATAGAGACCACATTTATGTAACCTTTATTACAGTATATTGTTAAAATTGTTCTACTTTATGATTGTTGTTAATCTCTTATTGTGCTTAATTTCTAAGTTAAACTTTATCATAAGTATGCCTGTATAGCATGTATAGGGGTTCAGTACTATCCACAGTTTCAAGCATCCATTGGGGGTCTTGGAGCATATCCCCCAGGATAATGGGACGGCTGCATTCTCAAACAATGACTGAAAAGAAGCAAAATATTATTTCACCCTTACATAAAACCCATGTTGGATTCATACCAAGAATACTTGGTACAAGTGTGATTGCATTTCAGAAAAGATAGAGTGAATGCTAAGAGAAGGGAATGAAAATGATTAATGTTGACAGACTAAAATATAAAAAGTTGAAATTATGAAGGAATTAGAGGACCATGGGTTTACTCCTAAAATCCTGGAATTACAGCCCTTTCATTGCTCTAAGGAGGTGAGTTTAAGACAGATGAAGGCAGAACTTTTCACAGAGCGGAATAAGCTTATGAGAGGTGGCACAAAAAATAGAAATCGATTCCCTCAAAAAGTAAGAATAATTTGAATGTTGTGTTCCTGATCTTTGGGATTGACCTGAAGGAGGGGAGCAGTGGCTTCATGGCATCTCCCTTAGCGTCTTTGTTAGACACAGAACGCTAAGAGGGCCGTAGAGAATATCTAGGGCAGTGTAAGTCTTTGTTTTACTATGGTTGCAAATATCAAAAAATGTCTATATGTGACACGGCATCAGAGTTAAGTTAGGGTTTTTCAAAATGCTGACATGCTGAGCTCAAAAGGTTCGTCATCACTGATCTAGGGTACCTGTTCTTAGTGGCATACAATTACCTGTGCCTCGTCAGAGCCAGAGCAGGGTGAGAAGAGCATTCCCACAGAAGAAAGGTTGACATGGAGGATCTCAATCAAATTAAGGAGGGTGTCCCTATGTGGGGGCAGCCAGTGCAGAGAAGTCAGAGTCCCAAGTGGCCCAGGGTGGGTTGGGGTGTTAAAGCCAGAACCAGGTAAGGAGTGGGGAGAGCTCACGGTTTTCGATATATGTGTACAGCAATCTAGCATAGAGATGTAGATGCGTAGTATACATATATTCTCCAGCTTTCTCCAGAGTGCTTGGGAGAGGCAGCACCCCAATAGCAACGAACATACCTAGCACCTAGAATGTGGCTTTCCATACCATTTTCATTAAGAAGAATCAGGGATCGTTGGAAAATGGCTGATTCCAGGGCTGGGACAGGGAAAACGCAAGATGAGCCTGAACACTTTGTGCCTGAAAGCAAGTAATTATCCAGAGAGCAAAGGAGACATGTCACCAAGACACAGAAGCCAGTTTAAATGGGCTCCTTCTGACTCCATCTAGAATAATTTGAACATTAAATAATGATTGTAATATTATAACTTACTGAATAAAATAGGAAATCATGACTCTATAAGAATAAATAGAAAGTGTGAGGAACAGAATGTTTCCATCATTTCAAAGTACTGCCCCACAAAATACTCATTAAATACAAAGGGTAAAAGAGTATCTTCAATAGGGAAGCCTGGCAGGTGATCTAAGTATCACAAGGAACAGAACCAGGAGAAACTGCTCCACCGGAGTAGGACAATTGAGTGGAATGCAGTCAGGTTATCCACGACTTCTTATTCTCCTTGAAAGAAAGGCATAACTGAAATCTTATAACAGAATAACGCCCGGTAATCTTCAGATGGGTCAAGGTCAGAAAAGACCAAGAATTTGCTCCAGGCTAAAGGAGATAGGAGATGTGACAGCTAAATGGAACACACAGTTCTAAACTGGAGGATTTTGCTATAAACGGCAGCTGGTGAAACTCGAATGGGGCCTGAATAATAACTAAATCAGTTAAATTTCCTGATTTTGAGGGCTGTGTTGTAGTTATGTAGGAGTGTCCTGTTTGTAAGACATACACAGTATTCTAGGGTGAGAAGACATCAGGCTGGTTGCTCGCTCTCAACTGGTTCAAAGGAAAAGCACCTCTATGTCCTATACTTTCAACTTTTCTGTGAGTGATTTTTTTTTAAAATCTTCACCTGAGGATATGTTTTTGATTTTAGAGAAAGAGGAAGTGGGGGGGGAGAGAGAAACATTGATGTGAGAGGGAAACATTGGTTGCTTGCCTCCCATACTCACCCCGACTGGGAATCGAACCCACAACCTAGGTATTTGCCCTGACCAAGAATTGGACCTGTAGCCTTTTGGTGTATGGGACAGTGCTCTGACCAACTGAGTCACCTGACTAGTGCTTCGATGATCACTGAGTAAACATTTTTTTAGCTTTGTATCAGACAAGTTGTCAAAGAAGAAACAGATGAATCAGTTCAGAGTAGGACTAGCTTTGGGCTGTGTAATAAATCTCTTTAAAAAGCTGCCCTATTGCCCAGCCAGTGTGGCTCAGTGTGTCGACCTATGAACCAGGCACGATTCCCAGTCAGGGCACATACCCGGGTTGTGGGCTTGATCGCCAGTGTGGGGCGTGCAGGGGGTGGCCAATTAAGGATTCTCTCTCATCATTGGTGTTTCTATCCCTCCCTCTCCCTTCTTCTCTGATATATATATGTTTGTTTGTTTGTTAAAAAGCTGCTCTATGAATTTGCTCTGTGAAATGGCAAGACCTTGAAGTAGAATTACAGTGTAATGTGATTACTTCGTGTCTCAGAGTCATCCTAGGGATAGCTGGGGGATATTTGATTTCGTGGTGGTATGTGTATATCTATGTCTTTTTCTCACTGCTCTTCATTTTCTGTATGACCTCTTCAGGTTATCCACGACTTCTTATTCTCCTTGAAAGAAAGCCCTGAAAAGTTTCAGATCGAAGCCAACTTTCCCCGGCGGGTGCTGCCTTGCATCCCTTCAGAGGAGTGGCCCAACCCGCCGACGCTGCAGGAGGCCGGACTCAGCCATACAGAAGTTCTCTTTGTTCAGGACCTAACAGACGAATGACACCTTTTCTTCTTCTCCCTTCCCACCCCAATTCCTAAAAGAAATGGAAAAGAAACAAAAAAAAAAAAAGAAAAATTCACATTATTATTATTATAATACAATATTTTTTTTAAAGACTGCTGCATCCTAAGGAAGGATCAGAAACCATGCTGCCTGCAAGAGTCACCACCTGTGTGCGCGCGAGGTTAGTGATGAACGTTCCGCCGGCAGCCACCTTCCCCTACTGCCTTCGCACCACACACCTTCCAGCGAGAGGAGGCTCTTCACCTCCACCCCCGCCATTGTCCCAGCGGGGAAGGGGACATTCCCACTAGTTCTCATTCATTCTTGCTTTTATGGAAAATAAAAGTGACAAACCTCCATCAACCAGCTACTGCAGCATCTCTAAGGACTTGTTTTCCTGCCTCCAGGGAAGAGAAGGCACAGAGCAGAGATGTTCTTTAACTTCCCACAATTTATGAATAACTTCTACTTTTTTTTTAGTTGCTTTGTAATGACCAAAGGAATGAGGCTGACATGGGTGTATTTTTCCCCCCTTTATTTGATAACGCGCCAATTTTTAAACCCATGACATGATTCATCCCCTGGGCTTAGCCCACAAGAGTATAATAAAGATGCCCTGGGCTGGTTTGTGCTTATTTCTGCCATTGCCCTCGAGTTCCCAGAGAGGTCGTTCTTTTTGGTCCAACTCTTTTGCTGTCCTTTCTTGCCACCTATGCACCCCACGTGGAGTAGTGAGGGGAAGTCTGGGTTTGTAGCCCTTGTGATGTACAGATGTATCTACATGTGCGGTGTGAACTCCATGTGTACTCACCTGTGCACACCACTGCAGCTTTTCCTTGGAATCTGTACTGAGTGGTTATTCCGGGGTCTGAACCAAAGGATAGTAGCCCTTCCTTCCTCTTCATGCGCATGCTGTTCCTGCCCCGCCCTGAGCTTTCCTGAATTGCCAAGCTTGGTGCCTTCCAGAGTTATAGCAGGGCCCGTGATGGAACCAGCAGACCCATGTGAGAGTGCCCTTCCTGCCTAGTGGGTGTGTGGTGATGGTGGTGGTGGTACTTTAAGGGGAGAAAGAATAGAGGCCTTGAGGGGAGCCAACTCTCAGGCTGCGTGAACTCTTAGAAGGCAGATTTCAGTTTCTGATGTGTCCACCTGCCGGAGGCAGTTTTTATCCTCTTCCTCTATTGCTGTGTTAAAGTAATAGGGTTTTTGAACCTCTGGATGTCTCGTCTGTGGTTGAGTTCATAGTAATGGGTACATGGGTCAGGCCATGTATTAACAGATGCCAGCATGAGCTGACAAGTATTCCAAAGTGTTCTATGGCTAGACTGGTGCACTCGCAACACTGCAACCTCCTGAAGTTACGCTAGTTCCTAGCATGCTGTGAGACCAAGGGGTTCGTATCAAGATACAGCATAACCTGCTGGATCTGTAGTCTCCAAAGGCTTTCTCTGTTGCTTACCTAAAACCTGAGGACCACTCTTAGGTAGCAGTAACTTGGCTACTATTCTCTTCAGCCTCAATGGTTGGGGTGCACACCCAGGGGCAGGGTGAGGAGCCTCATGGATATCACCTAAGGAGCCTGAGGATTTTCCAGTGGTCTTGGCACGGGTATCTAAAACATCATCTCTAGAAAATTTAATTCTGCTCCTGGCTGCCTATTCCACTTTTTCCTGCTGTTCTGAGGCCATATGAGCGGGAAAGTGCTGTCTGTTGTCATAAAATGTATCTGGAGTGAATACCTGGATAAACCATGTTCTCCTCTCAACCTCGGGTGAATTCTGCCTCCTGCTCACAACTATGCAAAGAGGAACTTTCCCACTTCACTAAGCGCCTCCCTCCCCAATGAGTTCACAGCTGATTCCCTGCCAGTAGGGGCGGGGGCGGGCAGGAGGTGTCTTAGGACATTGGCCAGGCTGGTGGTACTGTCTTGTCCATACCTCTTTAGGAAGTTGTAAATTTTTTTCCTTAATAATTCAATCTGCATCTTATTCTACAATGTGCACTTTATGCCTCTTGCCTTTTGATAAGTTGTTCAGTGAAGGAGGTCAGATGCAAGAATATTACAAAGTTTCAGTTTGGTCGGTACAATTCTTGGTACAACTCTTGAGACAGCCTATGCCTTTAGGCTTCGAGGCTTCTGAAGCACATGCTTCTTTCCTAGTCCTTGTTGCAATAACCCAGACTCCATTCCTGTCCCCTTGCTGGCCCTAGAGCTGCTGCCCAGGTGCCCTCTCCTCCTCCCTGAAAAATGCACATTTTGTCAACGTCAGTACAATCTGTATATTACTCCCAAGGATCTCTGGGAACTCGATGGGACCTGCAAGGGAGAAAATACTGAGAAGCCAGTGATCTGCAAGCATTTGCTCTTGTTTCACATCACCTCTGGGTATTAACAGCTGTTGTTTCCAAATGGCAAGTCGTCAACTAAGTGAAAACACTTGTTTCAAGTTTCCTTCTGCACTCCCAAGACCAAAGTTGTAGATTCAGCTGCATGACCATGGAAATGACCAAGCGAAGACACCCGGTCGGAGTTAGTTGAATTTCTGCAGCTCAGTGGGGGCCCTTCCAGTGTTCTCTTCTACTTCTGCAAAATTTCCTGCAGCAAATACTTCTTTCTCTTTGCTTGCCTCCACTATGATGTTTGGATAAGAGATGGCCAGGGGAGAATATTTATCTTTAAAAAAAAAAAAAAAAGGTTAAAAAGAACCTAGGAAATCTTCAACTGAGCAGTTATGAAAATTGCTAATGGTGCCAAGGCCAAGGAAAGAATTGCAGGAAATGACAATGGGAAGGAGTGGTAACCCCCCAGAATGCAAAATCGGGGGAGTATTTCTGGTGCTTGAACAAGAAGCTCCACTTCACAACCGGTTTTTAGGACTTGTGAGGAAAGCAGCAACAGGAAATCCATCCACAAAGGATGCAGTGCCCCAGCTCGGACTGCACCTGAATAGTTACGTGTAATTTACTGAAGAAATCTAGTGTACTTTAAATTTTTTTCATAAAAGTTTACATTGTATTGTAGGTTAACATTAAATGTTTTATAACAAAAATGTTATAAGTCGTGGGTCTTTCTGTCTAGGAGAGAGGTGGTAGGTAATTTTCTATGTGAAGGAACGGTGGGGAAACATTGGGAGGGAACAGGGCATTGCGTTGCCAAGAAGCATGGACTTTAAGTGGACCTAGAGTGCATTCCTGTGAAAAACAGCAGCTCGGGCAGAGTGGTGTAGCGGGAGAGCAGACAGATCTGGCTGCAGGTGTGGGCTCCTTTGTCAGCTTTGTTCTTCAGCTTCCCTGAGCTTTAATTTCCATGAAGGTACGGCCATCTTCCTTGGTGTAGGATTGTAGATTAAATGAAAGAAATGTGCATGGAGCACCCGTCCCAGAGGTGTTCCTTCTCCGTGGGAGTATATTTTGAAGGACTATTTTCATGCAGCAGTAACTGTCAGTTTCTTGGGGGTTGGGGGGGTGGGGTGTCATTTTTGGCAGAACCGACCTGTGTCCTTGCAGAGGAGTGACTAGAGAGTCACTTTTTTTTTTTTTTTTTTATTTTATTGATTTTTCACAGAGAGGAAGAGAGAGAGATAGAGAGTCAGAAACATCGATGAGAGAGAAACATCGACCAGCTGCCTCCTGCACATCTCCCACTGGGGATGTGCCCGCAACCCAGGTACATGCCCTTGACCGGAATCGAACCCGGGACCCTTCAGTCCGCAGGCCGACGCTCTATCCACTGAGCCAAACCAGTTTCGGCCAGAGTCACTTTTGATCTAACAAATTCTGGACTAATGGAACTCCCCTCCTAAGGTGTTTTTGCATTTATTTTCATTTCTGAGAGAAAATTTAAGCCTCAGTTCTTCGCCTTTTCCCCATTGTCCTTTGCAAAGAACCCATTCCTGTGAGTTACAGGTTCTTGTCACCTTCAGGGCCTGCCCTGTTGCTTATCCAAAGATGTGCGGCCTTCATTTCGTAATGTACATCTTCAGTGTAAACTAGAAGGTCTTCTGTGAACCTTACATGTAAAAATTTGGCTCTCAATTAACAGAGAACAGGAAGATTCAAATCCTGATGCCAGATACTCCTGGTCCCAAATCCTGCCTGTGGCCATGATTTTAGCGAAGTGACCTCAGTATAGGCTTCAGTGTCACGTAAAATCGGGCCGATTGTAGCATTGCTGTTGATCACTGACTCCCGAGGGCCTGGCACGCAGTAGGCATTAGGTAAATAATCCCTCCCATTACTGTTTCAGATCAGTTTGTAGTTTGCCCACTGCTAATGGTTCACCCTAGATGTGGTTAAGTGGAGGGGAGAGAAAGCTTGGCTTGCAGTGGTTCTCAACCTTCCTAATGCTGTGACCCTTTGACCCCCAACCATAAAATTATTTTCGTTGCTACTACTTAACTGTAATTTTGCTACTGTTATGAATCGTAATGTAAATATCTGATATGCAGGATGTATTTTCAGGGGTCGCGACCCACAGGTTGAGAACCGCTGGCTTAGGGGGAGCAGCGTATGCCAGACACTTCTTGACATGCCTCCGGTGTTGCAGGTGGAATTCCTTGTGTGCTTTTACCCCGATGGAGCCAGGCTTCCCCACAATCCCTCCCTCCCTCAGCCTGTGGACTCAGCTAACAGTGCCGAGCCTCTCCCACCTCCTGTCCACCCCCTGGCTCACTCTCAGAATGGTGTCTAGAACGCCCAGGTTTCTTCCCCTTAAACTGAAACATGGTTTCCCCCTGAAGACACCACTTCAAAAAACCCTTAAGCAGGTGCCACTCATTTTCCCACGAACCTTGGCACCAGGAGGCAGGCTCTGTATTTCCCTCCTGCCACCTTGGTGCACTGTCCTGCAGCACGTGCTATCTGCCGGCTCCCATTCCCTTGCTGCTGGCCAGTCCCCAGATGTTGGCAGTTGACACTCGACCACAACCTACGAGACACATCTCGGCGTGTGGGTTCTCCAAACGGCTCCTGACGTGACTGGCAGCTGAGTGTGGTGGGAAGAGGCTTTGGCGTCAAATCTGGCTTTGAAACATCCCTGCTGCTTGCTGACTGATGAGGGCAAGTCTCGTCATGTAAACTTCATGGGACTAAATCCTTGCAAGGTTCAGGTGCCCTTAAATGGGCTGGTCTCTGAAGTGCCTGACGGTGGGCAGGTGGGAGCTGAGTGAAGGTTGACTTCCTTCCCTCTGTCCCCAGCAGTGCCATGCTTTGTGTGGCCTTCACTTGGAACTGCTTCACCTCGACCTCAGAACCAACCCTCGCTGACATCGGCTTGATGGTTCTAATTCTGTCCCTGCTCTACCCTCAAAGCCTTTGTCCCTCCCGCTCACCTCAGTTCTCTGCTAGAACTGTCTTGGACTCACGCCCCTCTCCACTATAAGCCAGAACTCAGTCACAGTTTCTGAAGTCAACTGAGCTGTTAAGGTGCAGACTCCTAGCACCTATCAGCGAATGAGGAGCCCTGGGTTGGTGCCCGCAGCTTGGATCCAGCTCTAGGGAACTCCCTGAGTGTTTCTACTACCTGGGTGCCGCTCCACTGTGCCCCCCACCCCTCAGGTCCGAGCCACCTGCATCCTTTTACACCAGCCTGGTTACTACAACAGCCTACTTCCTGAGAAAACCAAAGTCTTGTCACAGACTTCTCTTTTTTACCTTAAAATTGTTCTGTGAAGTCACCTGTTTCCTCTTTCTCTTGTGGGTAAATTTTCTTTTAAAACAGATCATTTACACACAGTAAAATGTCCAGATCTTAAATCTACAGCTTGATAAAAAGTTTTTTTTGTCAATCCTCACCAGAGGATATTTTTTCCATTATTTTACAGAGAGAGTGGGAGGGAGAGAGAGGGAGGGGAGGGTCTGAGAGAGAGAGAAACATCAACTGGTTGCCTCCCGTACACACCTCCACCAGGGGTGGGAGCGAACCTGAAACCCAGGTACGTCCCCTTGACTGGGAATGAAACCCAAGACCTTAACCATAGAGCAACACCAGCCAGAGTGCTTGATACAATTTTACCTGTGTACCCCAAAACCAAGATGCAGAATGCTTCATCACCCCAAAAGTCCCCTCCCATGTCTTCTCCATCAGTAGCCCTGCAGAGAGCCACTATTCTGACTTCTCTCACCATAGACGTTTTGCCTGTTTTTTTTTGTTTTTTTTTTTAATATATTTTTTATTGATTAAGATATTACATATGTGTCCTTGTCCCCACGTTACCCTCTACCCCCCACCCCCCCAACCCCCGCTCATGCCCTCACCCCCCCGTTGTCCATGTCCATTGATTAGGCCTATATGCTTGCATATAAGTCCTTTGGTTGATCTTTCCCCCTTACCCCCACCCTCCCCTACCTTCCCTCCAAGTCCCGACAGTCCAATCAATGCCTCTCTGTCTCTGCATCAGTCCTTGTTCATCAGCTTATGTTGTTCATTATATTCCACAAATGAGTGAGATCATGTGGTATTTATCCGCTCTCCAGTTCCATCCATGCTGTGGCAAATGGTAAGAGTTCCTTTTTCTTCTTCCTCTTCTTAAAGAATACCTTTCAGCATTTCATATAATGCTGGTTTGGTGGTGATGAACTCCTTTAGCTTTTTCTTATCCGTGAAGCTCTTTCTCTGACCTTCTATTCTGAATGATAGCTTTGCTGGATAAAGTAATCTTGGTTGCAGGTTCTTGCTATTCATCACTTTGAATATTTCTTGCCACTCTCTTCTGGCCTGCATGGTTTCTGTTGAGAAATCAGCTGACAGTCGTATGGGTACTCCCTTGTAGGTAACTGACTGTCTTTCTCTTGCTGCTTTTAAGATTCTCTCTTTATCTTTTGCTCTTGGCATTTTAATTATGATGTGTCTTGGTGTGGTCCTCCTTGGATTCCTTTTGTTTGGGGTTCTCTGCGCTTCCTGGACTTGTAAGTCCATTTCTTTCACCAGGTAGGGGAAGTTTTCTGTCATTATTTCTTCAAAAAGGTTTTCAATATCTTGCCCTCTCTCTCCTTCTGGTACCCCTATAATTCTGATGTTGGTACGCTTGAAGTTGTCCCAGAGGTTCCTTACACTATCTTCATATTTTTGGAATCTCTTTTCTTTTTTCTTTTTCGGTTGGGTATTTTTTGTTTCTTTGTATTTCAAATCTTTGACTTGATTCTTGGGATCCTCTTGTCTGCTGCTGGATCTCTGTAAATTATTCTTTATTTCAGTCAGTGTATGCTTAATTTCTAGTTGGTCCTTTTTCATGTCCTCCATGGTCTCACTATACTTATTGAGGGATTCATTAAATTTATCGGCGGTTTCCATAAAATTCTTGAAAAACCTTATAAACGTGGCCTTGAACTCTATATCCAATCGTTTGCTTTCCTCCATTTCTGCCATTTGTGACCTGTTTCTTTGTCTCCGCATTTTGGCAGCTTCCCTGTGTTGATTGAGTGGCCCTGTGCGCCAGGTGTCCTGTAGGGCCCAGTAGCTCAGCCTCCCCAGTTACCTGGGGTGGACACTCTTGGTGCACTCTTGGTGCCTTGGTTGTTGTAGAATCACTGGGAGGAATTGACCTCCAGGCCAATTGGCTGTGAGAATCAGCTGTGTCTGAAGTGGGAGAACTTCTGTGCTGAAGACACCCTTCTGGGGTAAGACTTGCTTCAGTGGGGCTTTGGTGCTCACTGAGTCTGCTCCCTGAGTGTGTCCCTTATGGATCTGAGGAGTTGCAGTCTGGATGGTCCCCCTCTGAC